GTTGTTGAAGTTCTTGTCGTAGATCCTCTCCCATATTGTCTCCTGGGAAGACCCCATGACCATGGCCATCCCTTGTTGGATGGGCAGCCCCTGGTCCTTGGTGCCACACACATAGATGCTCCTGAGCATGTGTGGGCCAAAGTGGAGGCCTGTCCCCTCCAGCACCGTCTTGCTCCACACCTTGGACAGCTCCTGTGCTTTCAAGGGGGCCCCTGTGCCAGTGTTGACGAAGAGGGTGGGCATCACCTCGTCCGCGCACATGGTGAGGAGCCTGTGCCCCCAGCTGATGTGGGCATCCAGCAGGAGAGCTACCTCAGAAGGCAGCTCCAGCTTGATGGCAGCTCCCCTCCACCTCTTGGAGTTCTTGTGGTGTGGCACGTCCAAGCGCCATGCTCCTGAGGGTGGTGTTATGTTGGAAGAGCGAGCAGAGGAATTGGGGGGTGATGGGTGCAGTCCAGGGCAGTCACCGGCAGCCCCTGGGTATCTGGGTACCGGAGTCCGGGTACCACTATTACCCAGGTACCCCCCCACCTGTGGCCACGTCCTTGAACACCCTGTTGCCCAGGCAGCCCGTGACCTTGTGCTGGCAGTCCGGGTGGATGCACCCCTTGTGGGGTGGCTTGGTGAGGGTGAGGAGGACGCTAGTGTCCCTCATGGGGGGCATGTAGCCAAAGGACATGGTAGCCATGAGGGCGTCGTGCACAATCCCTGCAGCCTCCAGCCTGGTGAGCTCCCCCCTCTCCATGGCTTGCAGCCCCTCCAAGGCCTCTTGCCTGACCTCCTCTACCCTCTCCACGAGGAGGGGGGCGTCCATCCACCTGCCTTGCTCCTTGAGGTCCTCTGGCTCCTTTGCCTTTGGCCTAGGCACCATGTTGGCCCCCAGTTGAGCCCCATGTTCTTGAGCCAGTCAAGGTGCTCCTTGATCTCGTCCCCCATGACTTGGTTGATGGGCTGGCACTTGAGCCAGGCCACCACCCGGACCGCAGCGTGCACTGCCTGCGTACACAGGGGGAGGGGGTTTGCCAAGCTGGGGTCTCTGGTACCCTGTACCCCGGTATCCTACAAGCAGGGTACTCGACCCTGGCCAGCCCCTTCTCCCCCGTCCCACCCCCTCACCTTTGTGTGGCCAGCCTTGTCCACCCCCCTGGCAGTGACGAAGGCCATGAAGTCCGCAAAGGCCTGGGCATCAAGGTAGTTGGCCAGCTGCGGCCTCTTGACTCCCTTGAAGTTGTACAGGTACCCGAGGTACTCGTGCACCCTCTGCTTGGTGGCCTCCCACGTCTTGGTCCCCTGCTGCCTCATCTCAAGGGGCCTTCCAGCGTTGTAGATGCTCTGGTTCCACTCCCTGAAGTCCTCCATGCTGGCCTTGATGGCTTCCATGCATGCCTCCTTCTCCCCCATGCCCTTGAGGGTGTTGAGGCCGTACCTCCCCCCCCCCCACCATGGAGGGTGGGGAGGGGATCATGGTAGGCTTGGCCTTGTGAAGGAGCCATGCTGTGGTAGCTTCCTGGCCATCCTGCTGCTGCTCCTCNTCCTGCCTGCTCATCTTCTGCCTGCTCGTCTCCTGCCTGCTCATCTCCCTCCTGCTCCTCTTCTGCCTGCTCCTCTCCTGCCTGCTCATCTCCTGCCTGCTCCTCTCCTGCCTGCTCCTCTCCTGCCTGCTGCTGCTGCTGCTCCCCACCATCCTCCCCATCATGCTGCTCACCATCATCATGTTGGTGGGAGGNTTGCTGGTGATGAGGGCGTGGAGGGAATGATGACGACCTCCACCCTCCCAAGCAGGCTGTCCACCACACCACGTGGCACCTGGGCAGCCCTGAGCACAGCTCCAGCCGCCCTGAGGGAGATGAGCTCGCACTTGGGTGTGTTGGGGCTGATGATGCCTGTGCTTTTGAGGTGTTGCAGCATCCCCAAGGTCGCCACCCTCCTCCTCTTGCGTTTGATGGCCTCCAGTGCCCTGTAGAAGCTCGTCTTGCTCACACCCAAGGGCTGTGCCACGCGTGCCCTCAGCTGGGGCACGACCACGTAGGTCTTCTTGGCAGACGTGGAGGTGTGTGTTATCACCAAGTCCATGGATGTGGCAGGGAGGTCAACTCCAAGGTTGACTTTGACCTTCTTGATGCAGTTGCCACCTGAGGGGGGCAGTGGGACAAGTGGAGGTGTTTTGTGGGACAAGTGAGGGGTGAGTGGGTCGAGTGAGTGGGACAAGTGGTGCGTTTTGGGACAAGTGGGTGGGACAGGTGAGGGGTGAGTGGGTCAAGTGAGTGGGACAAGTGGTGCGTTTTGGGACAAGTGGGTGGGACGACTGGTGCGTTTCGGGACAAGTCAATGGGACAACCGGTGTGTTTTGGGACAGGTCCGTGGGACAAGTGGTGCGTTTTGGGACGAGTCAGCGGGACTAGTGCGTGATCTGGGACGGGTGACTTGTACCACGACTTGTCCCCGGGACAAGTGCAAAGTTGTCCCATGT